TCATTCAATACCACTCGACGTGTGACCGAAGTCTTCGCGACAACATCTGCAACGTTCCGACCGCTAGAGTGGCCCTCAAACAGAGCCGATCCACAGACTTCATGAGGGGTCAGATGTATGGCTTCAGCATTGATCTGCATTTGCCGGAGTCGGAGGTGAACTGGTCTCAGGGACTCTTCATGGTTAGACTCAAACTCGTCGATCAAAAGCAACGCGTGATCGCAAATGTGGCCAAACCCACGGGTCTTCGCTATAAGAGTACTCCACTTCGAGTGATCGTAACGCTCTTGTATTGGCCTCTCTTTGTGTTGGGTTTGGCCGAAGAGAATCAACAAATCACTGTCGACCTCATCGACGATTACACGGAAGGCAGTTATCCCAAAGCCGGACCAATACATGAGGCCATCATCGAGTTCGAGGCCAGAGATGTCCAGATCTATCCGCCGACTGTACTCAAAGTGAGGGCAACGTTGACTGGCTTTCGGTATTATATGCATAACTATAGAGTTACGAGTTTTGTGGTCGGCTCCTCAACCATAGCCTCCTTCTTGTATTTCATCTCTTTCTTCGCTTTCGCTAATTATCTGCGAATTAATTATAATAACAACAATCAGAACAACAATGAGGACAACAATGAGGACAACAATCACGACAACAGCAACACTAATATCGCTGAACAACCGAATCGTGGAAATAGGGCTCAAAGAATGGAAGCGATTGAACACAGAAATGAAGACATTGACCAAAACGAAGCCGAAGAGTCGGGTCTCACGGGAGAGATAGAGGTAGAGGTGATCGAGGATAACAATGAGACCAATGAGGCCATTGAGGCCAATGATCACAATCTGAACACTTCTTCCAATTCAGATTACGAAGAGACTGAACAAATACCCGACTCTTCTATTGGTTAGACTGTTTGTAAATAATATGATTTTGGTATCAAATTTTAAATTTTACCCAAAATGTTATGTTTTAAACATTTTATATTTTGTGTAATATTTTGTTTATTAAAGAACTTTTTAAATAAAATTAATATATTTTTTAATAAATTTTTAATTGACTCAATATAATTGACATAAATGTTAGTATTTGTGTTATGAGTGATAGAAATAAAGATTAACAATTCGCTAATTAATTATATAAACAAATCAATGTCTTCACTATAACACACTGTACAGTATATGAGATATCGTTGAATATAATGACAGTTATACCAATATAAGTAATTGCATTATTTAAAAAAAGAGATTTTCAAACAATATATTGTAAATATATATTCTGTTAGAATCGTAACGAATTAAAGCATAATTAACACAAAAGAGGAAAATGTATAATAAATTGATAAAAAGCAAATCCATTGTAACAACAATATTAGTGAAAGACAGGAAAATGTAGACTTTGACAGGAATTGACTGTTACGTCCATTTGGTGGTCAAAGGGTTGGGCGTAAAACATAATCAAACTGAAGAGAGTGGGATGCGGTACACCGCTGTGCAGACAATACCCGTTGTCATTCTTCTGGATCACGATGTGTTTGATTGTGCCTCTGATGACAATACTCAACACATATTTGCCCTCTAAGTTAGCGCTACTTCTCACCAAAAAAGTTCCATCTTTTCGTCCTTTTAGAAGCCTTTCGGCATTAATTCGATTACATTTGGGTAAAAACCATTTGGTCTCGTCTTCATGCGGAAACATAGACTCTGTATTTGAATCGTTATTCAACTTTTCGTCACATTTTTCGAGTAATTCGACGGCATTTAAATTCAATTTGTCGTTTGCTTTCAATCCGTTCGCACTCTTTGTTTCAAAGTCTTCTTTAGTTTTCTGTTTGATCAGCGCTTTTACCTCAGATTTATCCCAAACTGTAAAGCATTCTGTGAATTAAATTATGTTAAATTACTTTCATATTTTTAATATTATGTATATACTTTTATTTAAGGCAAACATGTTTGGCAATTGAGACCACGAAACACACATTTCAAATGGTACTCACAAGTCAGAGTGACTGCTATTTAAAAAACATGCGATTATTGGATTTAAAGTGAGTTGAGTTAAGGTGAGTAAAATTTAAAACATTATTTTATTAAACATTAAATAGTTAACTAATAGGTAAACAGATTCAATCATTTTATCAATATATTGTAGTAATCATTAAATTTCCACTCAATTGTACTGTATTTTTAATATTCCAATCATAGAAAAAGACAAATTATAATGTATAACACTTTTACAGATTTCTAGATTACATGGAAAATTTCATTATCGTTATTGTTTTAATATATTCTTAAGTTTATGATTATATTTTTATCACTAATTAATCTTTTAGTTCTTGTAATTCATTATTTAATATTAAGACAATTCTTTGGACCACAAATGCTATGATTTAGCATGATAAAATAGTAATCATTGTACGGTATGTCAGTATTCAGCTATTTAACATGTGAATACTTAACATTCAGTGATATTAGCATCTTGGTTTAGAGCTAATTAACATTTATTCGTAAACTATTTTAATGGATTTTATTTGTTAAATATCTTTATTCATTCATAAGACAATTTACAATTCAATGTCTATAAGACCTGATGTAATAATCAGTATTTCTAATTTGACTTAACTGTTACTTTTACTCAAGTACACTCAAGTTCCGATTGCTAAGTTTGTGTATTTCCAATATTTAATATTTTAACTAGAAAGACCAAGTTTATTTATTTTATTGATATTTTGAATAATGACACCACAATTGTGTTGCAATCATGTTGACTCTATTGAATAGGCACAACATTGTTGTTTATTTCGCTTGTTTTACACAATTTAAACGCAAATCAATTACAGTATTATTTTGTTATATGGAATCCAATTGAAGCCCAGAGTTAGGCCAAAGAATTGTTTAGCTATTGTATACTTACGTCAAACTTAATGATTAAGAATATGATTGAAATGTTTTGAAAAATATTTTTAATGAATTTACTATAGAAAGCTCAACACATTTACAATTTTTGAGACTATATTTTATTAAAATTATTTTCATTAAACGATTTCTAAATTAAATTAAAAATAAAACTATTTTTATTGAAGCCTAATATATATGGTATGAAAGACATGCAGAAAAACAAATGCCAGTTATATAGCGGTTATAACAAAAATATTTGTGAAATGAATTGACAACTAAACTATAATCACAAACTGAATAGAGATCTAATAATTTGTAAATTGTAGTAAAGGAAGGCATGAATCCGTACGTACAGTACATGTATTACGAAATATACTGTTTTATGATTTACCATATATTGTGTATTTGTTGTGTAACAATGGATTGATTTTAGTTAAAACGGTAACAATATTTTACCAATTTTTATATATAAAAAACAATTCAAAAGACAAATATTTTTAAAAATTATCTTTTAATTAAAATCAGTTTCATATATGAGACTAATAATCAGTTTTCGATTTCTTTCTTTTATAAATTCAAATGAATCGAAGAATAGTTCGAGAAATTAATAGTATATTACAAATGAATTTTCTGGAAAATCACGAATAAAAACATTATTTTTTTGATCAAATAATTGTTGCTTTCGATGAATAATATTAATGATAATCAAAGATCACAGAATGAATCGATTTCATCATTGAATTTAAGACATTAGCACACGTTATGAGCACTTGGAGGTCATGTTCACCACTCGGTGGCCAATATATATCAGTTCCCAAACAATTATCAAATCGAATGCAAATTGGATTTTAATATAAACTTAATGACAGAAACGCGAACCAAAAACATGGGCTTAATTTCAAACTATATTTGAATTAAATTAGACTTTTTTATGGACACAAATCACTTCTGACGCGAAGGCTTTTTCTTCTTCTTCTTATAAAAACAACAGCATCTGAACGGCAATAGAAAACAACTGTAAAACAATTAATCCAAAGAAAATATTATCAATCGCTTACTTTGTCTCTGAAATCACTTCCACTTCCACGGGTCCGGTAATCGGCGTATTTGAGTGACCAGTAGTGGGATCGTCGGCGGTGAGGTCGCCATTAGTAGAGCTCACCACTTGAACTGATCCGTGTCTGTCACCGGCAGAGAGACTGCCTCCTAATAGCTTAGCGGCACCGCTGGCGCCCAAAATGCCTCCCCTGTCGTCCTGTCTATCCATCCACGCGTTCTTATTTCGATCCGTTAACTGCTATCACAACTACTTTAGTCTTTTGGACATCAATTATACGCAAATCGAAAATACCTTTATATTAGAGGCGGCGTGTCTTTCGCGTGGAATCGGAGGCGGATCAGTCATCTGATGCGGTTGTGACTTATATAACAATAAACTGTAAACACTATACACTCAACAGTAAAGTAGCGCACAATACCTGCTGTCTTCCGGTCCAGTCGTATTCGCCGTCGTGTTGATGGCCTTCCCTCTCAAACAAGTCAATGAACAACTTCTTCAGGTATTCATAGTCTGGAGTCTCAAAGAAGTCGAGTCGTCGAACGTATCGCAAATAAGTGGCGAACTCTTCGGGATAGCCCTCACACAACACGTCGATAGGTGTGGCCCTCTTTGTGTCGCCAATTTTGGAGTAACGCTCTTTGAGTGTATCGGCTTTGAGTCCCTGCCAGGGAAGGCTTCCCCGCAGGAAATACATAAACATATGGCCCACAGCCTCCAAATCGTCTCTTCGACTTTGTTCTGCAAACCATTATATCATTTAAGTATACAAAGTGTATCACGCATTGCAACATAACAGTCGTATGTGACATACCTTTGCCTAAATGTGTATTAATACTCATATATCTGGCGGTTCCGGTGAGACTCTTGTGTTCTCTGTAGGGAATATGTTTACCAGTTTCGGGATCTATGTATTCCTTGGCTAACCCGAAGTCAATCATATGTAAGACATTAGACTTCCGTGAGTTAGGTCTGCCTAACAGAAAGTTCTCCGGCTTTATGTCGCGATATATGAGATGTTTTGAGTGGACGAACTCTATCCGAGTTAGCTATACATCAGACACAATACAACAACAATTAAAACTCAATATCAATGCACTCGTCATAAACATGTCTCGTACTAATTGTAACGCAATTTGAACCACAGTTTTAGTTGAAAATTTTCGATCGCAGAGATCAAACATATCTTCAAGACTCGGACCCAATAACTCCATAACCAAAGCGTTATATTTACCGCACGGACCGAAGTAATAGATTTTTGGTATTCCGTCTAATATGAATATCAAAGCAATCCATTAGAAGCCATACAATGGGTAACACTATATACTATATGTCTGTGTATATCAATCATAAAATGGCTGCAAAGGCTCGTTAAATATTTTGGATATGAGCTCTACGTTAACGCCCCGAAACCAGAAGTACCCGAGGTTAAACTACCGGTGCACAAGCAACAACATATTTAAAAATGGATAGTATTAGTCAATTATAAGCCCATTTAGTTCTAGCTGTTTTGTTAAATCAAAGTTACAATATTGTATCAAAAAGTCTCAAAACTTCAGTTTTGGTATCAATTTATTTTTAAATGTTAATCAATTGTATAAATTTTAATTATGCATATTTATTATCATTAAAGATAATCATTAAAATATTTGGTTATTTTATATAGAAATTGTAATTTTATATACTGTAGTTATTATATAGAAGTACCGAATTCTTCCACTTTAGCCGCCATGGCGTGTTATGTCAGGGGTCTCTGACTCGGGTAGACTTTAAAATAGCATGGTGTGTTATCTAGGTAGTACGCCACCCCCTCTAAAAAATTGAGATAACACGCCATGTCGTTATATCTCATATTACTAGCCATGAGATATAATGAATACATGTATTTATCGATTCAATAACTAATTACACACATTTAAATGAGAAAAATAGAGAATTTACCGACGTTTCCGAGCAATTTATAAAACCTATACTCGAGATGCAATTGCGGGGCTTTGGTCTTCATGGGCTCCAATTTGATGGCCACGTGTTCGTTGTTGTATAAATTTTTACCTATCATAATCATAATTATAAGCCCGTTTAGTTCTAGCTGTTTTGTTAAATCAAAGTTACAATATTGTATCAAAAGTCTCATCACTTCAGTTTTGGTATAAACTTATTTTTAAATGTATTTTAATTGTATAAATTTTAATTATGCTTATTTATTATCATTAAAGATAGTCATTAAAATATTTGGTTATTTTATATAGTTGTTATATACTAGAAGTAGAAGTATATCAACATATAAAAAATATAATAATAATTATCTAAAACATAATGAGAATGTAATAATAGGGGAAAACATGAGGTCATCGATTGATTAAATTCATATTAAAAAACATTATTTTTATTAAATAACACAAATTCTCAATTGCAGATTAAAATAAACTACGGTATATATAAAATGACACCATGGTCAAATTAAACATAATTATGCCTATATTAATGCATATTTGTAGATATTCCAACTTCTAGTTAAATCACATTTATTCCTATTTTGCAAATGCATTGGAAATTATAGTAATTTTACATTTAGTTTACAACTATTAGTAATAGTCTCTTACAAACAAATACAAAACTATTGGCACTAAAAATCTCATTCATTGACAATTTGTGAGTCAAAATCGCATTACTCTAATGAATTCATTCATACATAAAGATTGACAATCATTTAAATTAAAGAGTTTTTATTTCTCAATCAAAACATTATGAAAAATAAACTCTTCTCACAGAATAAATATTATGGGAAATAAATTCATTTCATTGTTCACTCAATTCATTGCTTCTATTATAGATAGCGTCGGACAGTAACTCCGACACCAGTGGCACAACACATCTCACTCTTGCCTATTATTTTGAGCCAACATTTGTTATGTAATAATAAATATTTTCAAAAAGTAGAAGAAATGATTTAAACCCAAGACTCAATCAAATGGTATAATAAGTTGTCTAAAGAGTTGCCAAACGGCTCATCGCATGAACCATAGGTTATCTCATTGTTTATAAAAAAATATTGTTAATAATAATGAAAATCGTGAACTTTTTCACTCAGAGAGAGAGAGAGAGAGAGAGAGAGAATTACAAACTACAAAATTTTAAAATAACAAAAAAGAGTGATACATATATTGCAATAAATAGATTATAAGATGTAATTCATAAGAAAGTGTTTAAACTATAAATACTACACAGTATTACATAAAAATAACTCAATTTTTATGGCAAACAAATGGATGCATAGAATAGGAGACAAAGTGTCACAACGTTTGAGAGGCTATTTTATGGCTGAGTTTATCTCCTTGTTTCGGTGCTCCCGTCACACTACCCGAACGCGCCGACTGCGCTCCCGATGCCGGAGCCCCTGATGGCTGTGCTTCTGGTGGCGGCGCCCCGTCGGCGGGTGGAGGCGGTGGCTGTCCATCGGCTGCGGGCGGTGGCGGCGCCGCCTCTTCCTTCTTTCCTCCTCCACAACAGTTTCCCATTTCGTTATATCACCAGAAGTTTCCAATTAGTGTATTATAAATGAAGACACGAATCAACTCTTTCTGTTAACTGTTATCACAAAATGGTTTTTATTCAAAATAATTCAATAATTGATTGACTGATCGAGACGTTGAGGTCTGTTTGGAAACAATTATATTTACCCAAAACTAATGCATTGTTTGTTATGGATATCTCGTGAGTGCTATTGAATGGTATGAAATGTTTTACAATTTACTCGTTTTACCTGATCTTCAAAATCTGCTAAATTATGTATAGCTTATTACAGAATATTCCGTATGGTATAACTAAATGTGATTTTTGTGCACTAAGTTTATGCATGTACAACGTTGCTAGAATTATTGGGTCACTTTATAATTTGCCATTTTTCACATTTTTATGTATAAACTAAGAAATTAAGATTAAGTTAACTAAATTAAGAAATTAATTTTATTATTTAAGTTCACTTTCGTAGGCACCAAAACACTGTAAACATTTCATAATCTACTATTAATACATTCAATAACTCAATAGATTACAAAATTAAGAATTAGTTTTTATTAATTTATATTTAAAACATTTTACAAATAATTTTTGATCAAAATATGAATTTGAAATAAACTTTAAAAAGGAAAAGTTATAAAAAGCTAATCGATTGATGGATATAATAGTGAAAATGGTTGGGAAGCGATGCAAAGCAATGGTTTACTGACAGCACCGGCGATAAGTGCCTAAATGTGTGCGGCATTGAGGACAGCGGTGTTCAATGTCCTGACACTCGTAGATAAAGAAAGGGAAGAGACAACAGCCCAAATTACACCCCACCACACAAAGACCAGCCGACACACACCACGTTAACAGACCCACTGTTGGCTCAGCCAGAGTGACCACTTCTACTCCACAACGAGTGCACTTCATATACATCGGGTACGGACTCATCTGAATGTTCTGTACGACAACAACAGTATTGCCCGACTGTGCCATTGATTTGGTTTTGTGTTTTGCTAACAGTCAGACGGATAGACACAGAATTAGTTTAATTAAAGATTTATTTATAAAATCTCTGAAAACACAAATGAAATAGCGATTAAAATCAGTTTATATTAATTTGCAAATTATTGAATTCAATTCAAATTCAAATTCAAATTAAACTGACATTGTATGGCACGGACAGCAATAATGTGATTAATATAAAGAATTAATAAATTGCTAAATTACAAATGCTATAACTTATTGATTATAATGACAAGTTTCATTGTTGGTAAAGTCATAAACTATCAATTTTTGAAAATTTTTATAGTCTAAAATTTTAACAATTGTTTAATAAAGTTTAAAATATGTTAATTTTTACAACAAATTACACGATCATTGAATGATTAGCGCACAACTACTACCAAAATGTTCAACAAATCGGTGACAATAAACGATCTCAAAGATGACGAGCTGTTCATCATATTCTCGTATTTAGATTTAAGACATCAATTCAGTTCAATGGCAGTCAGCAAACGCTGGAATTGTTTGATTCGTTTGCTTCTATTGGTCCGCAAATCAGTAAGTTTTGTGGACAACAAGAAAGGACTCGAGGACTGGTTCCCAGAAGAGTGGCTCGAATTGACTCAATGTCCCAAACAGTACGAAAAGGTTACCTTCAAACACACCAAACAATTGGTGTCAAACATTATCAGTAAGTTTCCAAACCTAAAGAGTGTGGACATGGAGTGCTTCACAATGGATTCGACATCACTAGAGCTGTTGTCCACGAATTGTCCGAAACTGGAAAGACTCAATTTGGACAGTTGTGAGGGATTCACACTACAAATGGGCCGTTATTTTCAGACACATTTCCAGAGTTTGAAGTATTTAAACGTCTCGTGTGTCTCAGAGATCACTGAAGGCATTGCGTTGAAGATCTTGCGCTCGAGACTCGATTTGATTGCGCTCAACGTCTGCGGCACTCAGATTACCGGTCAATGTTTGGCACTCTTACCGCCAAGTGTTGAATACGTCAACATATCCTACTGTTGGAAACTACAAGTATCGGCCTTTTCAGCGCTCGTCTCATCCAAATGTTTGAATCTCAAGCAATTGGTTGCAAACAATTTCGACTCTCCGGCCAGCGATCAGTCATTGACGGAGATCTGCGACAAATTCAAACAATTGAAATNGAATACGTCAACATATCCTACTGTTGGAAACTACAAGTATCGGCCTTTTCAGCGCTCGTCTCATCCAAATGTTTGAATCTCAAGCAATTGGTTGCAAACAATTTCGACTCTCCGGCCAGCGATCAGTCATTGACGGAGATCTGCGACAAATTCAAACAATTGAAATGTCTTGACATCAGTCTTGGAAACTGCACTGAAAAGACATTTCATTTGAATTCGTTTACAAACTCTGGCTTCTCATCGATCGCACGACTGAAGCAATTGCAGAGTTTGACGATCAAAAAGGTATGCATTTTGGATGATTTGGCGTTATTGCAAATCATCCAAAACTGTCCGCTTATCAGCCATTTAGCCATTGATATGCGGACAGAAACTATGGTTACGGACTACTCGATCGCTTTGATTTCCAGGTATTTAAAATCGATTGAAAGCTTGGAAATCAGTGGCAATCATTCAATAAGTGACAGCGCCGTCATCGCCGCCATCACCGGATTGTCGCGACTCAACAAATTGGTTTTGTTTGACATGAGTATCACCAATAATGTCATCAAATTTGCCGCAAAGAATTGCCCGCATTTGAGGCAAGTATTCATCAATCGTTGTCATCGCGTATCAAAACCGGCGTTAAATGAAATCATCGAAAGAGCAAAACGGAGTCCTTCTTGGGATAGGTTTCACTTCGAGGCAATCAATACAAGAATTCTGATCCGAACTATCGTCAGGAATCGCGTCCTTCTCATCAAGAATTTGCCCCCAAATCTATCCTTCAAAGTGAGTAACATTAGAGGAGGTCTTTATTTTTGGTTCAATTCCACAACTTTTGGTTACAATCCTAAACCTAAATGGGTTTGAATTATTCACAATTCTTCGCCAGTTCTCTATCTTATAGTCAAATAAACAATTTTTCAGCTCATGTTTACGTATTAATTAGATGTCTTAAATTTAGATAATTATTTGCTTTTATTTATGAATCAAGTGTTAAATTATAATTAAAATACTTTTAAAATCCATGAAACAATAACAAGATTATATTGAAGCCTTTAGAGCAGGAATACAATAATATGTAAATTTACTATAATTATTATTACCGTATGTTCTTTCATGCATCCCTTTTTATAAGTTTATAAGCAAAACTAGTTTATAGTATAAAATTTAAAAAAATAATAATCTTTGAAAACTATTTTATGATAATTAAAGTTTAGAGGAATTAACTGAAAATGATTACGACTACAGAATGAAATAAATGAGATTTAGTGTCAAATGCACTCAAATTGTATTCAATTGTATGAATGCTGGCAATGAATCGCAGAGTTCATCGGAAGTGTTAGACCGGAGATGTTTTCACATTAACTATAGGTTTGTAAAAAAATCAACAAATGAATGAAAAGAAAGGTTTTATTGCATAAAACATTTGTCATGACATAATTATAAAATAAGTCCATATAATGAGACTTTCTATAGTTGGTAGCAAATAACTGATCAACGAATACCATAGCCATAGGTTTAAGGATAGTTTAAATACAAATTCAATATAAGTTCATAAAAGTAGAGAATAATAGAGTTTTTATTAAAAGTTTTTTTGATACCAAAACTTTTAGAAGAGTTTGCGTTGAGTTTGCATTGAATGGCAATGAGAGGGGAATGTGTTGTCATTGACAACACATGTCAACAGCTTTTAAATGTTTTTGACTTTCACTGTAAATGAGATTCACTTTAAAAACAATTTATCCTTAAATGCCATCAAATGTTGATTTCATTCAAACAATCATTCATTCAGTCGTTCATTGAATCCAAGTATCGGTTATATCTTCAGCAGTGACTCAATCGATGAAGACATGGATACAAATCCATTGGAAGCGCTAAAC